AAGAATCGTCCCATCATTGTCGGAAAAGTCAACTAGCCCCGTCGGTTAGTCAGTCCAAGGCACGGTAGAAGACACCCCAGTGTGCCATGGGGGGGGGGGGTGGTCAGATGTGTCTGGCTCGCATTCCGTTGCCCCCCGTAATTCACATTACGCGCTTTGAAATTCAAACGCGGGAGCACGCGACTACGGTCGTTCGTCGGTCGGACCCTGTCGAACGCGCATGCGCGTCCAGCAGCTTCCGTCGATGTGCGCGCGGCGTAATTGTCTCACACGTTGCAGAAAGAGAAAGGGAGAGAGACGACGGAACAAATGTCAGCCGTGTGCACTCCAAGAGTGAACCTGCCTCGACGATTTGCCCTGGCGATGATCCACCCCCTCCACACCCCTTCGTCGCCCTTTGCCCCGCACGGGGCTCTAATTGGAGTAGGAGAAGAGGACCGGCACTGCATAAACGCGCCTATTTGTCCATTATTCCAGATTCCCTTTGTCTTCCCTAATGAAACAATGAGTCTGCGCCGTAATTGCGTCATAGCCGTCCTGTCACTACCTTCCTCCTCCCATTGTGTACACCGCTGGCCTGGCATGGCCTTCTCGTCTTATAATCCGGACAATGCAGCGGGATAATACACGTTGGGCCCCCCTCTACGCTGGACTATGAAGGATTCTTTTGCCCAGGCCGTTTCCCATTGTTCCATCATGTTTTTCTCGTTTTCTTAGCCCGTTTCAACCGCCACCCTGCCACCCCCTTCGTGTTTATAGTTCGGGTTCGATGGACGATAGAGGATCGAATTAAGCGCGTTGACACGTGGATTAATTGATTGTCCACTCGGTGGTCGAGCATTTGATCTCGGTGGAGATTAAAGTGTCAATTCACTTCTTTTTACAAATTAGAATGAGAACAATTACTGGTGTATTTCGTTACTTGGCTTTGAGATTGTTGGTTTATGATTATGTTTTGGTACTAGGAATAGAGATTGTTCTTAAATTACATAATACTCTTTTGCGGGGGGGGGGGGGCGAATTTTTTACGTAATATTTTTTTAACTTAATTTTCAAGATGAGTACCCTAAAAAATTATGCTTTTGTAACTGAAGAAATGTAATGTGAAAATATTACGTAAGGAAGGGAGGGTAGGGCGTTGGAACATAAAATTTTACGAATTCTTATACTGAGGGTGGGAAGGGGTAAAAAATTGTCAAAACCACCGTTGCGTAATTTAAAGACGACCCCATAAAGAATTTAATTATGGATTTTTGGAGATTAACCCCTTGCCTTACATCTTTTTTGACGACTTAACGCATATGAGTTTCTTCATTATTACTAAATTCCATGTTCATCGTGAGTGTACACCTATACCCTAAAAGTTAAATATCAAAATCAACAAACTAGTAATTTCACTTCGATTTACAGGAAATTGATAATAATCATGTTTACTAAATTCAGTTAGACACCGTCACAACCAGTTTGACTTATCATTATAAGGTAAGGTGTAAATCGTTGGTTTTCAAAATCGTATTCAATATAGTGTTGAAAGAGTATTTAAATGTTAAGTTAGTACTCTTTTAAGGGTATTAAGCTGGTTGCACACACTTTTCAAAAGAATTAGGGGATTCCTGTAGTGAACAACCTTACTAAACTAGAGAAACGAGATAAATGGTATAGGTTTGATAAACTAACATTATTTTCATGCGATGCTAACATCTAGTTTTGTTTTTATTAAACATTATCCAGAAATTTCACACTGTATTTACAGTTATAGATGTTAAAATATATGATCCTTTACTTGTGCATTCATAAGATAAGTTGGTGGTCATTTTTTATGACGCTGATGTGAAGTTTTCATTATACGAAGATTCATAATACATTTAAGATGTTTTAAATCTCGTTTAATTTCCATCGATTGTTGAGTCTAAAGAACCCATCCATTATTATTCCAGTCAAAGTATTCTTGGATTTGTTACAAAAACACAACTGTACGAATGCACTCTGTATAAATACAGTCTGACTTTTTTACTAACATTTCAGATATATTTTCTCAAGGAAAAGATATTAATACAGTATGAATAGTATGGAAATACATTTAAGAAAATGTATGTAATATAACTGTATTCAAGAAAAAACTCATCAATTTTGGAATAAAATCTTTAAAGAACATATACATACTATTTTTAAAGTACTTCTGGACTCTTTTAAAAACAATTCATAAATAACATTGACTACGTAAAAGCCAATAAAATATATTTTGTTTCTACTCCTTTGGAAGGTAGGTACAGTAATATTATTTGACTCGAACGGGATAATCTTGTTTTATTGTTAAAAAATATTTAGAAGTTATTTGTGAAACACAATGAAAAGCACATAATCTAATCGTCAAAATTTATATATCTAAAATTATTATCAAGTCATATTTCTTATACGAATTTCCATTTCCATAGATTATTTTAGTATGTCGAAACCGACGTAAAATTCGGTTCATTAATTAAAAATAAAAGAAAAATCACATTCCTTTGTCTCCAATTCTCCCACAGCTTTATCACATTAGTGTCTACTGTAAGTGCATAAAATCCACAAATTATTCATTTCCAGACATATGTTTATTAAGTTCTTTCAATAGTTCGTTTCCATCAATCCTCAAAAACCGTAAACATAGTTCATTTACGTTCTTACGCGGATAATTGATCACCACGGGTGGATGATCACGTAGAGTAGCAAAAAAAAAAAAAAAATTGATCCCCGACTGAATTCTGTCGGTATTTGTTCTGGGAAAAGGGGGAAGGGAATTAAAAATCTAACATCGGCGATCGGATATCCTGCAGATGTTCCAACAGGATTTCAGTAGGGAATCGCTATTACTGCAGGGATTCTCTGCTGCGCGAATTACGCCGGTGTGAGTAAATATGGCCGGGGAGGATGTGGCCAAGAGTACAAAGTAATCCCGGAGATTACCGGCTTATTCTGTCAGAAGATTATGTCAGGTCGAGGGTGTCAGCAGCTTCCTCGGGCATTGGCTGCGCCCTAAATCTATCCCCGCGTAGCTGACGCTCACGCACTTATGGCTGACGATTTATCCTCCCGTGTCAAAGAAATCAACCGTCGAGATCGTTTGTTTTTCATAAATTTGTTAGAAAAAAATTCGTTAAAAAATTTGGAACAGGTCAAAAATGATCCAGCACCGTCTAGTGTCGTATTATTGGATATTTCCTCGTCAGATGGATAAGAATGACAAAATTTGAAAATTTTTATAACAATCAGGTCGTGAAATATTGTACAGGGTGAGTCAATGTGAACTACTGTAGGAAATACATAACTCGTTACCTATTGCCTGTATCAGAAAACGTTTTAGTGAATTATGTAGCATTAATGCAATTTGATGTTTTTTTATTTGTTTGAGATATCGTTTCCATCTTTTTTTAATACCACGTTGTTGTCGATAGAAGGACGAATTCAGCGACCTATAGCATGATGGTATTTAACAAAAGATGTATTTACCTTGATAAAACTCAAGGTCACCTTGATATTGTCAGAAAAAAAGAATATAAAAAAATCATATTGTATCCATAAATTCACAAAAGTGAAAAATAACAAGACACTACATATAATAATATACACATAAATTATTAATATGTACGTCTGCAATATACAGGGTATTTCACCTAACTTGACCACCTTAAATATATCGCTTATTGTGTATGATAGAAAAAATATCAGAGGAGAAAAATATTCTGTTCGAAGGCGCCAATACGGTGATGGGCCGAATTTTTTTCTCAAGGTCATTTTTTTCGAGATTTCAAGGTCATCGAATTTTTTTTAAATGGGACTACATATTTTCACTACAACACTCTTATAGCATATAAAAAAACAAATCCAACGAGGTGCAATATGTTGACCTTCACGTGACCTTTAGCGAAAAAATCATGAAATGTTTGTCAGTAAGCTCAGTACGCGTTCGGGGACGGTAAATGAAGGAATTTCAATTTCATTGGAACAGTCTTTAGTTAAATCTTTATTTTAGAAGGTGTTCAAAATGTGCACCATGAACCTGGATACATTTTTGGAGGCGGTAAATAAATTCTTGCTGTACATTTTTAAGTTGCTCTGCAGTAATTGATCTACATTCATGTAGAACCCTTTGTCGCATGTTTTCTGCTGTTGTGGGAACATCATTGTAAACTTTACTTTTTAGGTGTCCCCACAGAAAGAAGTCAAGGAGCTTACCTTAACCCTAAGATTTACTTTGATAATAATGCTTGTAAACATACTTCAGCCGATGAAAGGAGAATACGAATGTCTGTTTACAAGCACAAGGGACAATTACACGGTACACTGTTCCAATGAAATTGAAATTCCTTCATTTACTGTCCCCGAACGCGTACCGAGCTTACTGACAAACATTTCATGATTTTTTCGCTAAAGGTCACGTGAAGGTCAACATATTGCACCTCGTTGGATTTGTTTTTTTATATGCTATAAGAGTGTTGTAGTGAAAATATGTAGTCCCATTAAAAAAAAATTCGATGACCTTGAAATCTCGAAAAAAATGACCTTGAGAAAAAAAATCGGCCCATCACCGTATTGGTGCCTTTGAACAGAATATTTTTCTCCCTTGATATTTTTTCTATCATACAAAATAAGCGATATCTTTAAGGTGGTCAAGTTAGGTGAAATACCCTGTATATGTATGTACGTACTTTAGTAGTTAATAAAAACTATTATTAAATTATGTTTTGGCCTTATAATTCTACAATTAGCGAAAAATTTGGAAAAGTATAAGTGGCTCTAATTTTTTGGCCAGGGACTATAGATTGTCTGTTCGGAGTGAAAGTTACTTGAGCAATTACCATGAGCGGTAAAATTTGACAGTATCTATAGCGGAATTCTGATTAGATATCCCTTTTCCCAATTAACCAATTTACGCTCGAGTCAGTGCGAGCTACTCGAGCTTGTCTGTCTTCCGGTGTCACGTTTCTGGTCTCGTATTTATTTACGGTAGCAGCACTAACCTGAACTCTGGCCTCCGTGAGGTTAATCTTCATCGCGAGATCCTCCCTCGTGAAGACATCCGGGTAGTGTGTCTGCGCAAACGCTGTCTCGAGTTCGTCGAGTTGTTGCACAGTGAACGTGGTCCTGTTCCGCCTCTGTTTCCGTCTCACGAACGAATCCTCGCCGACACCGTGCAAAGCTGGATGATACGGAGAGTAACTAGTATCTGAAACGATAAAAAATTGTACGGTTGAGTTTGGCACCTCGTCAATAAATGATCGTGGCTAGTGGGTTGCTCGCTGTATCTTAAAATAGTAATTTTTTATGTTGTATTATTGTACATATCTCGCCATATGCGCGATTTTTACTATGGTTATTATTAACTATTTGCACTTGAATGTCACAGTTAAAAGCTACACTTTTGGCCAACAGGACTATGTATTATATAGAAAGAAAATGATAGACCAGAAATTTCTTTTTTCTGATGTATACATGTGTTAGTTTAATTGCCGAAACGTTACGCGATCTTTAGAAATGAAACCAAAAATAAAGCACACTTCGATTGGTTCTTAATGAACTGTATTTACAATATTGTGTGTTTGTGTGTGTATGTGTGATGTTCACCGAGTGAGTTCGGGATTGAGTCTAATATTTACAAAGTCTGGGCGCGCCTCTGACGTTGCACTTCACCCTCGTTGGCGATATGCTTTGTTAATAACGGTTTCTAAATAATGAATTCTTATTGGTTGAACCCTGAAGGAGTAGGGATATACCTTGAATTTTCCGAGGTTCGTGGTGGAGGAAAATGTTCCTTCAGGAAGAAATGCACGCCTGAAAATAATTAAAAACACGTTGCCAAATTTGGCTTGACCGCGCCGAGGTTGCGAAAGTCACCCAACGGTACAAGTTTATGACGATATTGTTCTTCGCTTCGGTCATATTACGCGACCGGGACCGGCTGCCGACCAAATGTTGGACCTTCTCTATTGTCTATTGTATAAGATTGTCGAAAAGATTAAAGAGATACACAATTGAAGTCAAACGGACAAGAAATAGACGCGTACATTATTACGGGAAATTGAATGGCTAAATTGGAGTTTTGTTGGAAAGTAATAACCGCTGCTATGGAGCACTATAATTGTACGACGGATGAACATGTTTGAAAATTCTATTTGAACAATAATTTCTCGAATAACTGCATGAATATTGGTGGCAATTTCATTGCTTGATGAATTTGACATTTGCAAACATATTCATATAGGTATCCCACAAATTATTATTCAAACTGAACGCTTTCAAATGTGTCATTGAATTCGTGTTAAAATGCTAATTAATAAAATGACAATAAATAAATCTGTAGTTCTATTTAAAAAAATACATTCTTACTAAAATCTTTGTAAATAACAGTTTAAAAATTTAGAATAATCTATTGTATTAAGTTTGCTCCATGAAATTAAACAACTTTTGTATGAAACATTTCTTCGTATTTTCAATTGTTACAGACACAATAGTGTGTATACATTTAAATCAGACATACTGTATACAATATCATTGTGATATTTGATCCTTGCAATGCTTCAGAAACATTGGAATAATTTTTCTAATTTGTTTGAAATTAGAAGATAAAATGGTGATGACTGTTTTTATGCAGGACAACGATCTGAAACATACTTTGAAGATCTGTATAAATTATTTGAATCAACTATAAAATAAAAATGAGTTGCAAATAATGAAATGATCCCTGTAGTTTCTTGATCTTAACCAAATCGGAACAGTATGGGATGAGTTATACAGAAGGGTAAGAACGACATATCGAAAGCCAAAAATTTATTTATAGAGAAACTTGGAGGGGAATTCGATCAGATATCTTAAAAAATTGAATCAAAAGAGTATCACATTTATATCCAAACTAATTGAAGTACTTATAATTCAACAAAACAATAATAATGCAATAAAACAACTTTCATTTTTTAATTTTAATTTTTCGAGTTTTTGCCACGTTTTCGTGATTTCGAATCACCGTGTGGCGGTCGAAGCGTGCGCATAAGTACAAAAGGACAAAAGGGGGATGAAGGGAAACGTTCGTATTAGCTGCGCATGGATTCACAAGTCCGGTTGGGGGGGGGGAGGGGGTAAACGTGACGAAGCCCGGAGAACCGCTTATTAATGATGCAAAGCAATCAGCGCAATTAATTACCGCGGCGCTAAGCCGAGGCTTAGCGAAAAACACAAATTAATTTCCTAAACTCATAAAAATTCATACGGTTCGCTTGGTACCGAACAAGCGGCCAGGTCTCGCTATATCGACTGGCACCTGGCTTCTCCTATATTCGCATGCATACGGTATATGCGCGTGCAGATTCACACGGAATTACAAATTTCCACCAGTGTTATCCTCGTTGCCTCTGACGAAAAGCAGGGAAAGGTTGCCGAATTTGAACCATCGCATCGCCTAGGTTGGACCCCTACTGTAAATTGTTGTGTCTAAGTAATTTTAACTGTATGATAGACAATAAGTGTTGTTTATATACTAAGGTAGTTACTGCATTCAACACTACAGACTACTCTCGATTATCGTCCCGAACTCGAGTCTGCGCCGGGACAGTAATCGTATAGGAAGAAATGCTTCAGACCCTCGTAAATTCGTCTCTTGCTCGAAACCCGAGCCTGGGCAACAAAAGCGGAGGAACAACAAACTATGCGCTTAACACCCCCCCCCCCCCCCGAGTGGTGGGGATATTGCCTTGACAATAATCGTGTAGTACAAGCCAGACGATAATCGAGAGGAGTGTGTATTAGAAAGTGCCAAATGATGTTCAGATAAACGAAAGCAGTAAGCTATAACAGTTAAGATGTAAATATTTTAACATCAAAATGAAAGTTCTCCAATTGTTTTGAAGTAGTAAAACATTAATATATGTATACAGAGTGATTCTACTAAAGGTGCCATCTAAATGTTGTATAGTATCGAAAGGACTATACCTTGTATCAATTAGTTTGTTGCTATTTCCTTTTCTTAATGATATAGGAAGGTCGCCTTGAATTTTTTCACTGCAACGAGTAAAATTTGATCCTGTTATTAGAAAGGGTGTTGAATGGTGAGTAAAAGCCTATTAGGGTGTATGGGTTTAAAAACTAATAATTAATGAAATATTCTTCAGTGAATGATGTTAAACTTTCGTAAATGTAAAATCCGTACAACAATTACATTGTACGTCGGTGTTTACGAACGACGACATTTACCTTGCCTGATTGTTTAGATTGCATTATTGGAAGCGTATCTTAATTTCTGCGACAATTATTAGATATCTCCAGTTCAAGCATCACGTTCAGTAAAAATCGTTTAAAGAATAATATCTCGGTAACTATTTATTTTTGGACCTATACACCCTAACAGTTTTTTACTCAAAATACAACATTTCTTCCAACTGTAAAGTCAACTTTTACCCATTACAGTGAAAAAATTCAAGGTCCCAAACTTCATATCTTGGTAAAAAAACGAAATAGCAACAGACTAATTATTACATCGTATAGCCCTTTCGATACCATACAACTTTTTGTTGAAACATTTCTTGATAGAACAAACAGTTGTCGTGCGTTTGTCTGCGAGATGATAAAATTCACGTTCTGTCGATAACAAGTTACGCATGGCGGAAACGAACTTTCGTAATCTGCCGCGGAACAATTACACCGTTCAGCAAACTCATATCGTGTCACTGGCAATAGTCTCCCCGCCCCTGCAAAATTAATACGAACCGTTCGCGAGGATTTTCGCCATGCGGTATATATGACGCTTGGAATTAAATTTCCCGCGATCGATGTCCTGTCCCCGCGTTTAATGGTCAGTCTTTTCATCGCGGAAAATATATATTCGGCGTATATTTTCTCTAATTCTCTCGGTTTGTTTATTGATCGTTGTTTTTGCAATTTTACCCTGCATTTTTCGCAACAGTTTTCGATGTTGTCGCTGCTGGTATTACTTTATTATTACATAAGCTAATATTACTTTTCGAATTCTGCTACAGAAAAGTCGAATTTGTACAACGCCAAAATTATGTAAAACTTTTATCGTTTACTTTTTCACTTATTATAGAAGTTTTTAAACACGAAAATTAGCAATATTTAATGGCGTTTTCATTTATGTTCACGGAAAACAAAACTTTCGACGATGACCATAAACTTCCTTTTAGTTCAGTGATTTCCCGATATTTACAATTTACGAATTAGTTTTCGAGGAAAATTGAGTTGATCGATGTACCTAACGAAAATTTTTAAATTCAGACTTTCTCTAAATTCGAGTTAATGAGTAAATAAAAATGCAAATGTTCGCGTTTCCACGGTATTAAATATTTATATCATATTTTTAAAATTCGGTGTTTTTATTTAACCTGAATAAGTCGAATTTATAACATGCACCTATTTAAGTCATTTTTAAACTCTACATATTTTCGTGTGATCTTTTTTGTTTTATAACTTCAATTGACTGAAGAGCAATCCTATTAAGCTAATTTATGTTTTTGAGAGACTTTTATTGTAGCTATAGGTATAATCATGAAATTGCGCCCATTATAAGGAATGAATATTTGCATTTTTCCTTTAGATTCATAAATCTAAATTTATCTATAGTGTTCCCTCTTTAAATATACAGTTTACCTATAAGGGGCTCCGTCTTTTATATGAAATATCCATTAAACAATATTTATGTCAGACTTCGAGTAATTTCGGAATGCCTTGTAATATTTACTGCGTATCTGATAAGTGTCCTAACACTTATGAACGGGGGTATATGTACATATGTATAATCTATATGACTTGCACAACATGAATAGACTCATATAACACGGAACGTAACCCTTAAGTAATAGAAGGTTCCACTATCTAATGAATTTTAAACATTATTTTCTTTCTAATAAACCATCTACACCAAGTTTATTATTCACAGATCAACCTCAAAAACTGTAAATTAACCCTCAATTAGTAAGGTGAAAATCTTATTACTTATTACACAACTGTGGTTGTTTTGCATTCTCATGTAAGAAATCATCGAACAACCAAATACAGTGATTCCTCGATGAATGCGACACGAGCAACGGTGGTATTTAGTAAAAACTAAATTTATGAGGGGCTGGAAACCGTTCTGCCTTGCCATGAACGCTCCGAAGCGGAGCCGAGTACGCCGCACTCATCGAAACATTACTGTAACACGACTTCGAATAACTACGGAAT